GACGAGGTCTGGAGGAGCTGCAGCCCTTACAAGGAGCTTTCTACCTGCCCGGGCTCCCCAAACCCAGGGACAAGGTGGTCCTGCAACGGAGGGTCCTTGCCCTGAGCCGCCTCTCCTGGCACAAACACATCCCAATTAGCCGAGGGGCTCGGGGGGGGGGGCTCTTCTCGACCGCTGCGTACTGGAGGTGTTGGGGTGGCAGGCCGCAGGCCGCCCTGCACGCCCTTATCCCCACGTGCGTTAATATCCGTTGCCATTTGCATCCTGACGAGCGTTGCCGCGTTCAGCTTCCGCAGTTCCTGCGTCAGGGAATTCCAGAGGGACAAAGTCAGTGGTGCCGGATCCTTCCCTCCCCATCCCACAGGCACCCGGCACCCATTTGATCAAGTGGCAACTTGTCCTCCGACCATGAAACAGGGCAAGGAGAAACGCATCCGCATCCTCAGCGTGGAAGGGAACTTCCCTCCGGGGCGTGAAATGCCCCGTCCAGGGCCGCAGGCTCCGCTCCGCGGGCAGCCGGACTCCGTCTGGCTCCAGGGCTGGGCCGCACGGGGCTGTCTAGACCCACCTCCCGAATAAAGGAGTTGCAGGACTCGGTAGCAGTTTCCTCATTGGTTGTAAATAATTGCTAATATGTCTTATCAACAACTGGGATCACCTATCAGCGACTGACTGACTGCAAATTTGTCCCACAGTTGCGATTTCCACGCAACGACCAAACCCTTCCAGGAGCCCCCGACCGAGCCGTTGCGGGGCCGTCCCCCACCAGCACCCAGACAGCATCTCCAGGTTACAGCATCTCACCCCTGGCCCCTGTGCCCCGTCCACCAGCACGGCCGGGGAGGGGAGACCTTCGGAGGGAGCGTCCCTGAGCTTTGCCTCCCGGGACTCCAGAGCTGCTTCACAAATCCCTCCCCGGCCTCGCTCCGTCACCCGAAAAAAGCCGGAGCAGCAAAACCTGGGCCGAAGATGCCACCTGCTGGAAGCGGGTCTGGTGCCACGGGCCGGCGGGCACCCCGCAGCCCCGCCACCCAGAA